TTGGTTCAAGAATATGAACATTTGTAGATGGGCGCTCACCGATCGGTTATGGGACTTGCTCGTCCCGACAAGTCAGTGAGCCCGTGGCTCAATGGTTATAGTGTTGGACCTTCAACAAACAGGTTGCTGGCTCGTTCCTCGAATGGTGCAACACCTGAGGTTGGATATGGCTGACTGATGACAGATAATAAGCCAGAAAGGGCCATTCCAGTTTCCCTCGTCTTTTTTGGCAATTTTCTTCGGCCCATTATGCTAGTACTTCTGCCCCTGCTGATGGAGCTTGATAGTGAGCTTCAAGACAGTACGGGACGAGTGAGTCCTGTAACCGATCTATGAGACCTTATCTACCAACAGTGACTTTGAATAACAACCATAAAACGGGATTACAATGATTGTTTGGAAAAATAAAAGGTGAACTTATCTCACTGATACGAGATTTACGCAAAAACTAACTTCATAGGAACGTCCCATTAGTTGCAAATAACATTAAGATTTATCGGTGTACTTATTTCCAATCAATTTTTGAATGGATTTTCTAGGAGCCATTCAGCCTTTGCCTAATTTTAGAGAAGCAATACATAAGGTGAACTATGTGCAATCAATCGGAACTATGGTGAAATTTAGGCACTTCATTCCCACTCCTGGACAATTTATGTAAACTCTTTCCCGTTAGTTCGTCAATGAAAACAATTTATTGCATAATGCAGGTGTTAGGCTTGCCTCCAATCAGACTTTGTTAAAATCAATCAGGAACAGGAGATAAGTTGCACGAATTTATCGAAGGGGGTACTGACTGCGACGGTTGTGTCTCAGTTTTGAAGGGACTCTCTGAAAAGTCTCGCTCCGGGTTCAGAACAGACAAAATTAAACAACAGTGGTTAATTCTGCCTTAATGCTCACTCATTAAGTTAATGGCAAACTAAACAGCTAAGGACACGAATGCCAACATAAATCAAAAATAACCTAACTTCAGTTAATTTCGGCTACTCAATAATTTTGCAATTAAAATTCGTGCACAAAATCTGGATCAGCACGTGGTTTTCCACAGTAGGTGTTTCAATTCTTTTTGTTTAACCTCCGAATGATTGACGTAAGTAACCATATCATGATGGATTTTGGTTAATCAACTAATTGGTGGCTTGAGTCAGACTTTGTTCAGGCCAATTTTTTTGAAGAAGAGAACCATGTATGCATAATCGCAAAGTGAATGCACTTATCAGGACTACTGTGTTGTTTAACGGTATCGGTGATTTTCGCAAAACAGAATTCTGGACAACGGTTTTGAGATTATAACACGCATTTTCGCGGACAAGGAGAGGACTAGCTGATTGGGAGCTCGATCAGGCAACTAAGCGTAGGCAGTAAGTGACAGTTCGATCATCGATTCCGACGATGTCCCTCAGTGTCTTACGTCGGGGTGGTGCAGGTGACTTACGCGTGGATTCCTTTTAAATGATAGTAGACTTGCGTTTTATTTGCCGCATTCCCTTTTTCCTCCCCCGGTCGAGTCCGGTGTCGAGACAGAGTCAAAAAGACAGGAGGCGAGATCGAGCGCGGGCGGCCGAAGCCGCCACGCCTGATTCAAATCCAACTGAGTATGAGTGTCATAAAGGACACGGGTGGTTGATGCCTGTGCTTGCGCCTACGCGTGTCACCGAGGCTTATAGAACCGGCGACAAGGATTCCAGGTCACACAGCCTGGGCCTCCGGGCCACAAACCGATCATGCACCATCTGTTCGTAACCTACTCTTGACCAGGATTATAGCACAACAAGACGATAAGCACTGGACTACGCGATACCGATGCTGGCGGTTACTCATCAGATAAGAAGATGCCCGGAGGCTGAGGGCGTCTAAAAGAGAGGTCGATTGAACGGCGGAGACCTGTTCAGCGGGGGGAAGAAGCTTCAGGGCTTGTCGATAACTTTTTATTCGGCGCTCGGTATTTCACAAAAATACCTGGAGAGGGCAATATCTACACTTTACGAGTTTTGTGCCAATACAATGGAGACGAAATGTGGTGCACACTCTTTTTCAAAGAGCGAGGAATATTTACTATAGTGAGACTTTTCCTGCAGGGCCTTCCCGCATCAAAACAGCCGTACTTATTTTACGAGTTTCATCCAAAAGTATAGCAATCCTTTACGGCCAAAATTACGGATTAGTCGGTTCCGAAAAAGCTCGTAACTATACCCTTACCATTTCGAATATAGTCAAGCGATGGTTTTACTGTACCGTAGAAAGGACGTACAACGCAGCTGAACTTGTCTTCATCAGTTCTACTGAAAGCCTTCCGGTAAAAGGGGCAAAGGATGCCTTGCCGTTGCACGCCACCCTAAATTGTATCTATGAACCCACTGCACTTGCTGATGCACGTACATTGGGCGTACGCAAAGGCAACTGGCAGCCAAAGCCGCTGAACACTTGCCTAATTGGCTTTTCAAGCAAGAAGTCAGAGTACGACGAACTTTGATTTCTAAACCCCTGCTAGACCGTGGTCACTCGGTCGACCTCGAAACACCTTTCCCAGTACTTGTTCGGACACGAACAAATCGGACCCTGCGTTACTTGGAAGCAGCCTACATACGGCGAGAGAACCCCGGACTGTGCAAGCAGCTAGACCACGTGGACAATTATCTTGGTAATTTGACAATTAGTTTTAATCACGACTTGGTTTGCGCCAACTTCCTCTCCCCCTCCCTTTCTCCCTGTAGGCTGATTTAATGTAGTTTCCTTCGGTTGATCATTATTTACACAGAACTATGACCCCTGCTGCTATACATTGACATTCTATGAAATTCTATCTGCTGTATGCTTCCGTCCGTCACCTGACTCATGCAACGACGGGATGCAGTTGAAAAGCCGTCGCAAAATTTGTTCAATTCAACGAATCCTGCTGTCTACGCTTGTTTTAAATTCGTATCGGAGAACCATTTCTTCAGACTTTTTGTTCGCTGATTGACCCAAACTAACGCCGGTCAAAAGAGACACAAATGCAAGCTACCATCTCGCGTATATTTAAGATGGCAGAGGAAGGTTTGTCACTAGTGGGCAAAATTAGTCTGCTGAATTAACTAATAGCCCAAAGCTTGTCATTGTCAGCTGACGGTAAAAGGGTATCCCATGGTCCATATTCACGCGCGACAGAATACCAGAGCAGAAGAATTATGAACATCACTACAAGGACGCTAGGAAACAGATAAATGACGGAAATTATAAGTGATAAGGCCCGATATCGTACAAGCCATCTTACTGGTTCGCCTTTTTATTAATGGGTAAGGGATAGTTTGG